GGTTGAAGTTCCCATCAAAATAGGAGGAGAGTTTGAGATTTTGTAAAATTGAACGATTCTTGCCTAGACCAAGTCAAATTGATTGAGGCAATCCATTTGTGAGATGTCTTCTATGCCCTCGTGATCAAAGCACGTGTTTCCTTAAACTTCCCCAAAATGCACCTAGTGTTTTTTTATGCATAATGGGAAAATGTGATTTTCTGCCATGTTTGACCAAAATTTATCTGATTTTATCCCTAAATACTCAATTTTGCATTTTAGTCAGAAATTTTTAGCCTTTATCTTTATTTAACAGTATGTAAACACTTTTTATAAAATATAAGAGGAAAGAAGTCGTTTTTATACTCAAACATGCCTAGAAAATAAGCTTTTTGCAGCGAAAAGTCAAACTCGTCACATCTCCAAACTTAGCTATTTGCTTGTCCCAAGCAAAAACAACAATAGTCATTCCATCAAAACAACATGCTAAAGAGATGAATGAATCACAAGAAAGACTTCATAAGCTAAACTTCCTAATCTCTCAAGCCAAGTTATTTTAAGCCACTTTTGTTTTTAAAATAAAAATATGTCTAGATCCCCTTCTTTTCGAAACCTTTTTTTTTTTTGCAAAACTAAGGAATGTGCACTCTTCCATTTTGTTTCAAAAGTTTTACATCGAAAAGATACGTGGTCTAGCTACTAGCCCCTGAGGTTTTCAGTGCCGTAACATCGGCTTCCAACCACAGCCACTCATAGAAACTCTTTAGGTAGCAACCCAGTCATTAAATGATGTCAACAATGGATTCCACGATATCACTTTATTATCACTACCCCCCAGTTAGATGCTATCGCCACTCATTTAAAACAAAATGAGTGTCCACAGTGGGACTCCCAATAAATTTAAGTGCATTTTCTTGCCGCTCAGTTTTCTTTCCACTCTTGTCTTTCTCTTACTTTATATTTCTCACTAGCAATGACTTTTTTTCTTTTAACTCTTTTTGACAAGACTCTTTTTTCAATGTATTCTTTCTTACTCTTTTTTTCAAAAAGTAAAAAAACATGATTTTTCTGGAATTGAAATAGCATTTTCGATCAAAAATAAAAAAATAAAAATAAAAAGACCCCCCTCCCCTCCCTCCCAAACTTAAGGGAAACAATGTCCTCACTTGAAAAATATGTTTTGGAGATGCAAGCATTTTTCAACAAATAGGACAAGGATTTCCTATGCAGTTTTGAAAAAGTTTAACTTTAGAAATCAAAAGAGCAAAAAACAGTTTATCAACAAAACATAGTAAAAATGAAGCATAGCTTGATCATAAGGCTAAGAACCCTAGCTAGTGCATGTCTTTAGTTATCTTCATATACATGAAACACACACAAAGAACAAAAAGAAAGCAATTCATTAAAAGGATGAACATGCTATTCATTGGAACATCGCTATTGTAAAAACAAGGGACAAAGCAATAACAAAGCTCAAAAATATGATGCACTCATTCCACATGGCAACTATGCATATTGATGTTCCAACAAATTTTTTTCACACAACAGAACATGCATCTTAAACTTAAAAAAAAAAAAAGAAAAAAAAACCTATAGACAAGCCTAACTAACCAATAAAAACAAGCCTAACTCACCTGCCAAATAAAGTCCAGCATGAATTCGTATCTAAATATTTGTCTACCAAATTAAAAATGACACTACTAAACTAATAAAAAACTTCTACATAATAGAAAAGACATAACTAAACAAATTGGGAACAAAGCAACATGCTTTCAAAGAGGAAACAAGGGGTCAGAAAACTCCCTCGATTAATTTAATGAGTCAAAAAGAAGCTGCCAAACATAGTGCCCAGCACTATTTTGGACATTCCACAATTTGGTGCGGTTTTGTTTATGAAATTTATTCAAAACTAGAAGTTAACCCCAAAGAAGCCAACACTAAAATAAGAGAATAAATTAATACAAGCAAAAAAATGCAAAAAAAGGGAAAAAAACTAACAAGATAAAATAACTCCCTCTTTTAGTTCTAAAAAACAAGGTGAGAGTCGCTGGTTCGTTGAAATCCCCTCCCCATCAAGGTGGTTCTAATCTCCAAGGTTAAATTGCTTCACCCTGGGCATCCTTCGAGATGGTTGTCCTTTTAATGTTGTCTCTTTCTATTTTTCTAATTGTGTCTCTCCTTATGCATTCAATAAGTCATCTAACCCGTAACAAGTTATACCCTTTTCAATGCTAAGGTCTGCACATTCCTTCGTATCGTCCAAATATTTCATCGCGTCCAGAACATTAAAGGTTACTTCTTGATCATTGACACGCATTAAGATCTCCCCTTTCCTTACATTAAAGATTGTATTCCGAGTTGCAAGAAATGGTCAACCTAGTATTATTTGTACCTCTAATACAACTTCACAATCAAGAATGATAAAATCCACAGGGAAAATAAATTATCAACTTTAACTAAGACATCTTCTATTTCTCCCTCATGTGTTTTAATAGATCGATCCGCTAATTGAAAAGTTACAAAAGTGGGACAAGCTTTACCTATATTTAATTCTTTAAAAACAGATAGCAGTATAAGGTTAATACTCGCTCCAAGATCCAAAGCTCTTCTTAGGTTCTTTCCTCCTATCGAGCAAGAGATAGTAAAACTATCTGGATCTTTACATTTGACAGGTAAAGGATTTCCTAGTGCATAACTACTACATTTAGTTAAGGTTACCGTTTCATGCTCATCAAGCTTCTTTCGCCTATAAATAATATCTTTTAAGAACTTTCTGTAATTAGGCATCTGTTCTAAAGCATCTATCAATGGGATGTTTATATACAAATGTTTTAATATTTTAAAGAATTTTTAAAAATGACTATCCCGATTCTTCTTAACTAACCTTTGAGAGGAAGGTTGATGAACTTTAAAATTACCTACCTGCGAAGTAGTATCAAGCACTACTTGCTTGCCTCTAGGATCGCCTTTACCGCTTTCTCTCGAAATGTTAGGTTCTTATACCTTTATCACCTCTGATGTAGATATGGATGTAGAAGCATCAATTCCCCTATGTGTTAACACCGACTCCTCATATGACAATCCACTATGCGTTGTTACTACCGTGCGCTGTTCTTTTCCGTCGCGCCTCGAATTCTCCACATGCATCGATAAAGCACCTTGCGATCTAGACTTGAGTTCATTGGCAAGTTGGTCCATTTGTAGTTCCAAATTCCTCAAAGAGGTTGCTTGGCTTAGCATCATCGCATTCTAGCTTTGTATGATTGTGTCATTCTTCACCATGTATTATTTCATCATGGTTTCCAAACTTTCATTACTGCCACCTTGTTGATTATTGTTTTGTGCTCATTGTTGGCTATATTGTTGCAGTGATAAGGTCGTTTGAGTCGAGAATCTAAGTATTATGTAGTTCTACTTGAACTATTGCATAGGTGCTTAAGCACTACTACTCACTCCTCCTTGATTGTTCCAAGAAAAATTTGGGTGGTACCTCCACCTAAGTTTGTATGTATTTGAATATGGATCAAAATTTTACTGGGTTTGTTAACCTACACAATAGACCGAAGCAGGGTTAGATGGACAGTTCGTATAAGTAGTTACCACTACAATAAACACAAGATAAACATAAATTCATAAAACAAGAGAGGGATCAAGAATAGTGGCCGAAGTAGCGGCAAGCGCTTTCTTGGCTTTCTCCATCGTCAACGTTTTCAACATTTTATTCATGACTGCTATTTGTGCTTGTAAAGAAGTTGCAATGTCTAACTCAAAAATTCCTGCTTATGGTTGCCTCTTTGGTAATGATCTTCCCAATGCTCCTTGATCATTAATCTCTGTTATCTTATTGAAGATGGTTATAATCTCGTTGGCTGACTTCTCCAGTAATGAACCATTGGCAACTGTGTTCGACATCATCTTTGATGGATGATCCAATCCTCGGTAGAATTGTTTGATTTATAAGCATGCAGGCGATCCGTGGCTTGGGCATCTCCTCAACAACTCTTTGAATCGTTTCCAAGCTTCATTTACTGCTTCATTTTCCTTCTGTCAAAATGCTACGATATCTTCTTAGAGATATGTGTTCCTTGTCACCGTATGGTACTTCGTCAAGAATTTCTCCATCATCTCCGCCCAAACGGTGATCGAATCTGGTTCTAGAACATTCAGCCATATCCTTGTGTTATCCTTGAGAGAGAAAAGAAATCGTTTAAGTCTTGATCCATCTTTCAAAATTCCATGAATTTGAAATGCCTTGGCAATTTAAATAAAATATTTAATATGGGAATAGGTGTCTTCATTGGTTAAGCCTTCAAATTGTCCCATCATCTGCAGCATTTTGAACTTGATCGGCTTCAGCTCAAATTGTACGGCTTGGGGTTGTGGGTTACTTATTCCTTAATTTAGATTGTGGAAAGCATGAGTGACATAGTTCCACATGGCTACATCTAGGTTGTCAGTTAACAGGATCGAATCAGACACTTCTCTTGCTCACTCCTTAGCCATCCATATCTCCGTTCACAGGTGGAATAGTTGGATTCTGGGTATCTATTTCAATGGTCTCTTCAGTTTCGTTCTCTTCTTTATTTTCTCTTTGTCTTCTTAGCCTCTAGTCACATCTTATCCTTCTAAGGGTTCTTTCTATCTGTGCTCATACACACAACTCAACCATTTAAAGGTTAGATATAATAATTAAATCTCAATAACGGAGGTATGCAACACTCACAATATGAAACAATTCACTTAAAAATAAAATAATTTTGAAAAATAAGTCCCCCAGCATCATGGTCAAAAACTGGTTGTTAATTCTCTACCACAAAAGATAATATTTTATTTCTACCTTTGGATTTTCCCATACACTGATAATTTAAACTCTTGTATTTTTTTCAATTTCAGAGTTCTAATTTTTGGTAAATTAGAATTTAAGTTCGAATTCATTGGTTTAAGATAAATTAAGTTTTTTAATTTTGGAAAGAGATTTTTAATCGAATTTTAATTCAAAGTTTGAGAAATTTAATTTTCCCTTTTGGATTTTATTTCGGATCCCAAATTTAAGTTGATGTCTTAAATTCTTTATCCCTCTTATTTTAGGTAATTAGCGTTTTATTTTGGTTTTATTCTTTTTGGTAAAAAGAAAAGGAAAAAGGGAAAACAAAAAGGAAAAAAAGAAAACCGTAACATGTTTTTCTCTTCCTTTCTTCTTCCCAGACGCCCCCTTTTGTGCTCTCAGCCAGCCGCCAAGCCCTCCCTCTCTGATGATTCCATCTTCTCCAGCGACCCATGACGCAGTAGCATTCTTCGACGGAGCTCAGCAATGACTAGCGCCTCAACTAGCGTCAGCGGCGACAGTGTTCTCTGACGGTTCCTAGCAGCAGCGACACTTGTTCCTCCTCTCTCCACGGTGGCACCCACGATTTGCGACAGCCACGACTCACAGCGAGCGGATCAGCGACGCGACCTTCATCTCTCATGTTCCTCTTAGCAGACTAGCGGCGTGCAGCTTCCTCCCACGACGCAAGAACCCTTGCGGCAGCGGCACATGTTCCGAGAACCAGACCCGAAGGTAGCTCTTTCACGCGACGATCTGCAGCGTTCCAGTGACCTCCTACTGTGACTCATGAACAGACTCAACGTCCTACAGCAACGACGACCCATCCCTGACGGACGACAGCAGCATTCCCTGGACAACAATGCGGTAATCATCCTTTAACGATCCTCAACGATTAATGCACACAAAACTCCGCTGCAACCCCCTCTCTGATGCTAACAGCAACATTTTTGCAACTTTCGGAGCTTACCCACACCCAATCGAAGGCTGACTTGAGTTACCCATTCCTTTTCAGTATAGGACCAACAAGCCTGAACCCCTTCGAGCTTGTTTCTGCAGTGTCGAACACATTCGAAATCAATCCAACACAGACCAAAGTGTTTCAGCGAGGTTCATTAGGTAACGGCATGCCTGAATCTTCTTCCCCCTTGGATTTAAGTGTTTTAATTGGATTCTAACCCGAAGCAAAATCTCTTTTGGTAGGTATCGGTTGGATAGAGTTTGGTTGCGCATGTAGTACCCTTTTTTATGTGGATGTTACTTGAGGGGATGTTTGATGTATGGTTGTCTGAATCGTTTGTTGTGTGCTTGTTGCTTGCTTGTATTCCTGTGGTTATTATTATTTTATAAATTTTACTATGACATGATTATTGAGGAATCGTTGGAAATGCACGTTTGTTGTCTCGTAAACCGTATTATAAATTAGTAACCATGTTGGATGTTATCCTGGTTGGCTATGTTGAGTTTGTTGTTGTGTTTTGATTGGGATTTGATTGTTGGAAATTCTGATTAATTGTTCTGGTGCTGTGATTGATGATTTGTAAAGCATGTTGGCTATATTGTTTATGTTAAGAGCATGTTGAGTCCATTATGGAGTTTATATGTTTGGTGTATCACATGCTGGAATTTTGTGTCGAGGTTGATGCACGGATCATGGTTTAGAAAGCGTGGAGTGGGGTTCAAGTGAGAGTTCTGGACTGTTTTAAAGTGAACGAGTGAGTATCAGGGCAATAGAGCCGATTCGTTACTATTTGGTGTCGAGGCTCCTGGTACAAAAGGTCGGGGTCAATACGACAGTCTTGGTATAGACGAGTGTCGAGGCCACGGGTACAAAAGGTCGGGGGTCGATACGCCAGTCTTCTTATAAATGAGTGTCGAGGACACGGGTACAAAAGATCGAGGGTCAGCATGATGAATCTATTTGGTAGGCAAGTATTAGGGTCTTATGGTGGAAATGGTCAAGGGCCAATACGTTGCAAAGTAGTCGAGGCCTTAGATAGAAGGTCGAGGGTCGATACAACAATTCGAGGCGTTGGATAAAAATGGTCAAGGCTCAAACTCCAAGTACCATAGAGAAGTGTCAAGGCCCTAGGTACAAAAGGTCAAGGGTCGACACGACTCGAAGGAGTAAGTCTTGGGGTAGGAAAGATTAGAGAGAGAGTTAGAGAACTCTAGCGAGTTTTCGTGATGTGAGCTTGGGCTTGGCATGTAGATTGCATAATTATGTGCTTTATGTTGTCATTGATCTCTTATTATTTGAATTGATTATAAGACATGTTGTATTGATGAGATGATGTTTTTTTTTTATGATAAGAATGTTGTTTGTATGTGACCCTTCATACTGAGTACTGTGGTTGTACTCACCCCCCCCCCTCCTCCCTATTTTTCTCTCCAGATTCTACAGGTAACAAAGTATCGCGTGAGTATGGTGATGGTGTGGAGCAGACTTGACTGCAAAGACCATTTAGCTGTGTAGTTTAGTTTTCATTTATCGTTTTGGATAGGATAGTAGTATTTGTTTTTGCTTTGTGTTGGGTTTATCCCTTGCATTAATAGGTTGGTTTATTAGTTTTTTTTTTATTAAAGGTTGTATAATTCTTTGAAGTCGTCGATAGATGATTCTCTGTTCAAACTAAAAATCATTCTAGTTTGTTGAATCATAATTCTTTGAGAGCTTAAGTTTTATTAGTGTTTGAGTTATGGGCTAAGACTTGTCGAAGTTGCTAGTCATTACCTCGTTATTGGTTTGACATAATAAGTAGTTTTTCTCCTGGATGGGCGAAACTTTACAAAAGATTAATTGCTTAGGCTAGGTTGTTTGTGTTTATAACGTATAAATTGTGGTTTGAGTTATGGTATTAGAGAAGTGCAGCAGAAGCATGGGGGAATTTATCCTCATTTTGTGTTGCTAGTGGTTTAGTTCTCTAATGCGAGTGGAACTTTTTAGGTGGTTGTAGTAACGGTCATCGTTTGGGAAGTTGAACATCCTAGGGCGTTACAAAGTTACTTTATAAAAACAATCCCTCTGCTTCCTGCCTTAGTTTTGAGAGAAAAGACACACTGTAGAAAAATGCGCTAGGTGCTACTTGACACTTTTCTGGAAAATGAGTTATACTCTTAACACGAACCACTTTTGGTTGTTTTAGAGTCTAGCTATAACGTCCCCAAATTTCAAACAACTCAAATAAGGAATCTCCTATTCAGCTCAACACAAACAAAAGGGAATGATTACATTTTGTCCAACAACTTCATACAAATAAACTTTATTAACTTTAAAGGTTTCAATAGCACAACTAAAATAACTAGAGTTCTCAACAGAATAACTAATTAACCCACTTTATACAATCCTATAACGAGGAAACCAAACAAACCAACCTATTAACAAAAAACAAATGCAAACTATAATGAAACAACTGGAACTACTACCAAGTGTAACAATAACGAAAAACAAAACTAAGCTACGCAACAAATGGTTGTTTCAGGTTAAGTCTCTTCCTCGCCATCACGTACAATAATTAGTACTCAGTAAGCAGCCCTTACATAAAGGGTCACGCACACACAACATGCTTACACAACAACAAAACATCCTACTCATTATTAATATCACGCTTTAAATAAAACAGACAGTTTATGATGTTTGACCCCTAACGTGCAACCTACATGCCAAACCCAAGCTTCACATAACAACTCACTAAGTTCTCTTTCCTATTCCTCCAATACTTACTCCTCTGAGTCGTATCGATCTCTGACCTTTATATGGCACTTGGTGTTCGACCCTTCACCATTTTTCCAAGGTCCCGAACTATTGCAGTGACCCTTAACCACGCATAGCTAAGGCATCAATGACTTTGCTACATATTGGCCTTTGTCTTTTCCTCTCAAGGCCTCAATATATGCCTTCCTCTAAGACTCATCTCATCGACCCTCGACCATTTACCTGAAGCCTCGACAGTAATCTTTGTCCAAAGCTGGCGTATCAACGCCTGACCATTTGCTCGAAGCCTCAATACCCAACCAGTGACATATTAGCCCTCTAGCCCTAATACTCACACCATAACAAAACCAAAACTCTTAGAGTCCTACATGCTTCTAAGTCATGACTCATGCATCAAACGTCTCACAATAATTCAGCATGCTTCTTAAACCACCACCAACATGCCAACAATATAAGAACAATACCAGTATGCTTTATAGTAACAGAGTTTGATCAAACAATTATAAACAGCTAGAACAAATCATAGTCATCTAGAATGTCCAACATTCATAGGAAACATCTAGCAACAATATCCAACAAGCATTAAAAGATAAAGCACACAAATTAAAACATGCAAATCATACATAAGCACACAACAAACATCCCTTTAAGTAAGAACTACTTACAACTAAGGTCTTAAGGTGATACTAAGCTTGCCAAAGGGTTTCTAAATCAAAAGCAACCAAACTTTTGGGTTAGAAACCAAACCAAACTTTTGGGTTAGAAACCAACTAAAACACTTTAATTAAATCGAAAATCATCTTAGGTGAGTCGTTACCTAATAACTCACACTGAAACAACTTGAGGTAATGCCAAATCAAGGCCGAGGTTCGGGCTTCCAAATCCGACGCTGACAAGGTTGGGTTACACAAAACTAGTTCCATTTGGGTGTGGCTACGTGCCGAATATATGTCGAATGGTATGGGTATCACAAATCATGCTTTGACGGGTGTGGGTCAACGCTGAAAGTAGCCAGAACGATGAAAACGCCACAAAAATCGAGTTGTTTGTCGTGCATTGCCGTGAGGGGTTGCTAAAACGTCGCGGGTCTACTCTGCTCACCGTGGAGAATGAGACTGCACCAGATCTTGCTCGAAACACTGCCAGAAAACGCTGCTAATCGAGGGATACGTGGGTTCTGGGTTCGAGTCGTTGGAATCTTCGAGTCAGGGTCGTTGCTGCAGAAGGAAGCACTGTCGTCCGTGTTCCCGCCAGATCTACTTGAAGACATCGTCGGAGAACATTGAAACTTCACGCTGCCGCCGATTGCTATAGGTTGATGTTGCTACTGCTAGAGGACACTGATGCGAATGGGTACGAAATCGGAGAAGCTGTTGTTGTGGAGAGAAGCCACTGTCATCAGATCTGCTGCTCGCATTTGTCTTCACCGGAGGAAGATCGTGGGAGGAGGAAGCTGAAAAGGGGGGTGGGTGGTGGCTGGGCAAATGGAGAAGAAGGGGGGAAGAGAAACAGATGACTGACTAAGGTTTTTATTTTACTCTTTTTGTTTTTCATTTTCTATTTTTTTCCTTTTTTACCAAAAAGAATAATAAATCCAGAGTAATGCTAATAGTCTTATAAATAAGAATGAATTTTTCTTAATCCTTCTTAAAAAAAGGAAATCCACTTTAAAAAAGGAAACCCACTTTAAAAAGAATTTGGGAAACAATTTAAGAGATTGATTTATAGAAATAAAATCTAAAAGGAAAAATTAAATTTTCAAAACATTGAATTAAGATTTAAATAAAATCTCTTTCCAAAATTCAAAAACTTAATTTATCTTAATTCAATATAATTAAATTTAATTTTAATTTACCCAAAATTAGAACTCGAAATTAGAAAATACAAAGAATTTAAATTATTAGCTTAGGGGAAAATCCAAAGGCCTAATTTAAATCTTAAAATAAAAATATTCGGAAAAACATGTGGCTTTACACACTACCCACCTTAAAAAAAAACTTTTGTCTTCGAAAGATGACTATTCGCACAACTCTAAACATTAGTGCGTTACACTAGCATAACCTACTATTATAAGTCTATGTGTGGTTACAATACTAGAATGTTACTATCAACTCATTATGCGCTTATGTCTAAGTCACATTCCATACTAGTTTACTAAGATTTTGTTAGGTTTTATCCTCTAAACTCGTGGTTTGTAAATATAAAACATATATTTATTCAATAAAGTTGTCGTTGAAGTTGCATTAACCCAAATTCAATAAACTAACATCCAAGGTTGTCATATAATTTGAACAATATATAACTAAATATAGTAGATATTTAATATACAGAGTATATATTTGATATACCTGTATTAATGTTAATTTAATTAATAACTCACTTCCTTGTATTTTGAAAGGAAGTGGGAAGATGGTGGGTGGAGATGTAGCAACCTCCTCACTCCTCTCTTTATTTACAAAATAAGCTTAACATCCTCTCTCAAGAAGCTTTCTCGAGAAAATTCCCTCACTTTCAAAAGGCAAATTGATCCTTACCCATAAAATAGCAGGGAATGCTTTTTGGTGGCGTTGGTGTCTACGTTGAAGAACAGTCTTCAAATGTAGGTGCTCGTACTTCACTTTTATAATGCTTATGTCTTTTCTTTGTTGTAGTTCTAAAACAAAATCGAAGCACAAGCATTCATGCGCTTCCGCTTCAGGATTCAATCTCTTCAATTGGTATCAGAGCCAAGTTCTTGCTTTCGATCTTGTTTTTAATCATAAAGAAAAGCATGGTAGGTATTTTCTCTACATTTGATGTATGTGGTTTGCGAAATAAGCAAACCGGAGCTACTCATGCAACTCGAGAGGACAATTCTACTGTAGAGGGGCAGTGGTTAGGCACTGTCCATCGGTGCCTAGGCACTGGGCTAGGTCACCTAAGCGCCGGAAAGAAAACTTTTTTGTTTTGTTTTGTTTCATTTGTTATAGGATGCCAAAAATTGGTTTATTTTGCTATTTAATTAGTATGCACTGTGAATGTATGTTTAATTAGTTATATATGTTGCATAAAGTATGCCCAGGGGCAGATGCACGTAGGGAATAGGAGCACGTGCCCCTGAATTTTAGTTTTATGTTTAATATAGTATACATTTATAACTAGAAAAGTTATACTGCCTAGTGGTCACCTCTTGCCCTTACTTACGTGCCCCACATTTGCGCCTTGGGATCCAATCCTAGCAGTCAACTTTTTTTTACTTCAATTTATATTTTTTATACCCTCGGCGTTATTCCCAACTAATGCATCAGCTAATGCATTTTTTTTAACTTCTTCCGCATTCCTGGATTCGTTTAAATATATTTTCATTCTTTTATGTTTTTAAATATATTTCTTTTGTTGATTTTCCTTTTTAAATATTTTTTTTACTTCAATTTATATTTTTTATACCCTTGGCGTTATTCCCAGCTAATGCATTTTTTTTCTTACTTCTTCCGCATTCCTGGATTCGTTTAAATATTTTTTCATTCTTTTATGTTTTTTAATGCATTTATTTATTTTTTACTTCCTCCACATTCGCGTCTTGGGATAAAATCCCAGCAGTCACCATTTTTAATTTATATTTTTATATCCTTCACGTTATTCCCAGCTAATGCATTTTTTTTAATTTCTTCCGCATTTCTGGATTCGTTTAAATATATTTTCATTCTTTTATGTTTTTTAATACATTTATTTATTTTTTACTTCCTCCACATTCGCGTCTTGGGATAAAATCCCAGCAGTCACCATTTTTAATTTATATTTTTTATATCCTTCGCGTTATTCCCAGCTAATGCATTTTTTTTAACTTCTTCCGCATTCATGAATTCGTTTAAATATATTTTCATTCTTTTATGTTTTGAAATATATTTCTTTTATTGATTTTCATTTTTAAATAGTTTTTTTATTGATTTGTATTTTTAAATATATTTTTATTAATTTTCGTTTTCCAATTATATTTTTATTGGTGAGTCTCAACTTTAACCTATTTTAATTTATCTAATATATTTTTATTGTCATCGATTCTAAACTTCGGCCTTTTTTTTTTTAAATATTTTTCATTTAAAATAAAACATTTTAACTTTTATGTTTAATTAAGTTTTTTTTACCAAAATATGTCTAATTTTGTTTATATCATAAAACATATTTCTTTTAATAAATTTAAATTTATAACCTTAAACTTAGATAAATGTGAAAATTTTTATTCCTCTATTAAAAAAATTCACTAATTTATAAAAATCAAGTTTCTAAAATGAAGTTTGATTAATATACAAAATCTAACTATGTGAAAACTTACAAATAAGGAAAAAAAAGAAAAAAAAACCTCTATTGTTATCTTTGTCTGAATCCTATCAATTTTTTCTTAGAAATTTTTTTTTCTTGACACAGGAGAATATTATTTTCAACAAATTTTCAAATGAAAATCTATCGAATCGTAAAATTTGCGGCACATGTGAAAATTATCACACTTATCCAAATGTAAGGTGCAAATTGATACACACTAAGTTAAAGTTGAATATTTTTTCACTATATTTACTTGCATTTGTGCCCCCTAACCTAAAATCCTGGATCCTCCTCTGAGTATGCCATATAGTTTAAAATCTCACAATAGGTTACATGCATCATATGTATATAAATTTTATAATATATGTTTAAATGGTTGTATACTTTCATGAGTAGTTAATACAATTGTTATATTAATTGAATGAAAATTGAAATGCATTAAGCATGACATTACTTTAGTAAATATAATTGTTATATTTATGTATGTCATTGATAAGATGAAAAAGATATCCATATTTTATATATTTATTTTACATTTTATTAATTTATTATGTTTAAATATTTGAATTTAATTATAATTTATCATCTTGTGGCAGATTGAAGATATTCAATGATAATAATTTAAAAACACGATTTTAGAGGATAATACGAACTTCACCAAATTGGGGAGAGCTCAATGGATAAATACAGACACAATTATTATGGCGGGACGCTTCAATTATGAATTTTTAGGATATTTTGTAAATAAAGAGATATAATCAAAGTAGGAAACATAATCCTAAATTGGTTAGGAACTCTTTTATTAATTTGTTTTCTTTTAAAAATGATGTCCCAATTAGTTAAGAATTCCTTATTAGAGATAATTCCTCATTAAAAGAGGATAAAGTTAATCTTTATAAATAGAGAAGTCTTATTGGAGATCCATCATTCCAGTTCCAACGAAAAGCTCTCTTCTCCAAAATTCAAGTTATCTCGCTCCACCATGAGTGGCTAGGCTTTAATTCTTCCAACTCAAGGGTGATTCAAGTCTGATTGTAAGCATGGGAGGCTCAAGTTAGATCGAGATTTCTTCTTCAAGTATTCTTCGTTTCTTGTTCTTATTATTTATGAACAGTTTATATTAATTAAATTGATGTCTTCATTCATATTAATTTTTCTACAACAACCCATGAGTTTGTGATCCGTAATTGTCATGAATGATTGAAATAAGTAATAAGGAATTGGCTTATGTGTGTGTATTTATGTCTTTTCCATGTTTACATAGCTTGCATAATAGACTCTAGGAAAACAAAGGGACAAAATTAATTAATTTGTAGCTATCTCAAATTAATTGATTTTGGTTTAGTCATTCTCATCATCCTTAATGCTATTCTTTGATTAATATAGAGCGCTTTCGTGCCCAGTTGATTAATTAATAAGATTTAATTTGATGCTTGGTCTAAATTAATTAAATTAGAATAACTAAAACTCACCACAGCTGTTCCGAGTAAGTAGACTAAGTTCTTGAATCAAGAAACCAATTTTGTGTTAAGCCCATGATCAAGATTAAAATTGATGAAAATCAGCCTTTGGATTGGAAGTTTGGTAAGATTAACTTTCATTTTCCTTTTAGTTTGTCTATTTAAATTTTAAAATTTTAATTCAAAAGCCCTCAATTTTTAACTTTGAGAAATTAATTTTATTGGTTCCCTTGGGATTCGACCTGGTCTCACTACTTGTACAAGTTAGATTTAGTAAAATCAGTAATTATTTTGGAGGGTCTCGACAACCCTTACCAGTCATGCTTGTATGTTTATAGGTTAAATTTCTTTAATATATAAATGTTACAAAGTTAGAAATTAAAACGTATAATAAATAGTTGCATGCAAACATAGGGTTTTAATTGAATTAATTTTAAAGGGGCTTAAAATTAATTTCACCTTATGTTAAGTTTCTAAAATGATTAGAATTAGTGTTCGATGAGAAATTCTCTCAGATGTGAACTTTAATTCGATGGCTTGTGAGCTTGTTCTCGAATCAATGAGTCTGTGCCTTCAGCTTCTAGCATATTGAAGAATGTTTAGAGTCTTCGCTGTGAAGCTTGATGCTTGGCGAAGTTTGTGGCTTGATGAAGTCTTCGGCTCGCTTGACGAAATCTACAGCTTGATGAAGTACTTTGGTTCATGAGTTATTCGACTTGTGAAGTCTTCGGCTTGTAGCTTATGAAGTTCTT